ATCAACTTTTTTAATTGACCTACTAATTGACCCACCCTAATGTATGTATAGATATATTAGGGCGGGCCATTTTTTTTTACTATGCGCGTATAGCACAGAAGGATTGTACGTATAATTCTAAGCAAATTTTCCTCAGAAACCATGGGTCTAAAATCAATTTGGAGTTTGCCATAATGCGAAGATAGGTTTCTTAGCATTTTGCTGTAGTGTCGTAAAGAAGTGCTTAAATTTTGTAAAAAAACATGCTATAAGTGGTTTTTTGCTATGAAAAATCCATTTCTGCACTTACCTTTTTCTTAAAACTTACGCCAGAGGGCGTAATTTCCGAAATAGCTGCTATAACTTCAACCATATCGACCACTTACTAGCAAAAAAACCTAGGAGATTTTTTTTTAAATTAAATTTTTGATGTAGAAATGCGTCTAGAAGCTCTAGCGCCATTTCTGCATGAAAAGGAAAAAACAAAAAAATATCGCTTACGTCTTTTTGATGGTTAGAGCTCGATGTGTACCTAAATTATTGTTTTTTTTTTACACAAATTTTCATTAAAAATAGCCTCAAGCTCAATAAAAGGGTTCAATTAATATACTTATTAGGAACAAAAATTTTAATTATAATTTTTCAATAAATTTCGCTACCCAATAGTACCAAAGTGCTTCTGCTGTATCAAAAAAAAAAAACTAACATATAAAACTTTCCTAATAACAACCCATATTTGAAACCCATATTTGGCCTTTTGAAAAAATAAGTAAATGATTGAAGTTGTTGGCAACATTGCAATAATAATTTTTGAAGTAAAACTTACATTTGAAGCAACTTTTTCTTTCCCAAACAGCTTTTTATTACATTAAATCTTTTAACCATTAATTAAAAAATAAAAATTGTGGTAACCCTGTAAAAAGATAAGTGTACATTTTTTCATTAAACACAGCTCGTAATACTTAATTTTGACTAGTTAAACAAAAAAATATATAAGTATATTTCTTAAGAATTTGCTGGCAACCGTACAAAAAACCTAGTTAAAGTTTATATAACTTGCTTGTTACCTAAGTAGAATACTACTAATTTCACTCTTTTTGATCTGTAAGAAATTTGTTACGAAAACTTGCAAATATTGCAACTTTGATCTCTAAAAAATTTGTTGAATGCCACTGATGTTAGAAAACACTTTTTGTATATTTTCTTCTGACTAGGATTCAAACTTTGGTCCTACCGAGTAGCAATTCGCAGCTCTAACCACTCTGCTATGACCGCGCGGCTTTATAAAATAAGTGTAGTAAAAAATAGGTCGCAACCATATTAACATTTTTATTCAAAATATCTCTGACGAATTTTAGCATTTTTTAATTATTGGCGAATCAGTTAAAAAGGTGGCAATCCTATACGAAAAATTCCAGGGAAGTTGTGCGTTCAGCGAGGTTTAATATAGCATAGCTCTTTTACTTTTTTTGTGTAGTTTTTAGTTTTTAAAATAGAAAAAAGTTATTTTCGGATTTTATACTGCCAAAAAATATGTATGTACGTCCAGCTTTGAAATTACCAGTATTAAATTATATGCAGTATTGATCACAAATTTCATAAAAACCTTATACCTAAAATTTATTTCCATTTTTAGCCCCTTTATAATATATAAAAGATATGCCAGTTTTGAAGTTCTCAAAGAAAAATATGTCCTGTTTTTAATTTATTTCAAAACTATGTCCAATTTTCAAACCACTTAAAAACTATGTCCGTTTTATAACAAACAAAAATTCTTGTTGAATTTATAAGGTATCGATTCTTAAGCTTCAAAAGATTTATGTTCAGTTTTCAAAAAATGTATGTTCAAACCAGGCCATAATTTATGTCCAGTTTTCAGATGACCATATATTTTATGTTCAGTTTTTATTGCCAAAAATTTACGTTCAGTTTTTAAGCTATATTTTTTGTATACTTCTTTCGTTTATGTCCAGATTTTAGTTTCGTCGAGATTTCATACACCTTCTACATAATGCCACACTCTTATATCATCTGCTTTTTGCCTTTTGCTCTCCCCGTCTCCCCTTTTTATCCCTCATTCCCTTTTTCCTTCTCCTTTCTCTTCCCTCAACCTCCAACCCGACTAAGTTTCCCTCTACTCCCTATTTTCTTTTGTTCTTATAATATTCCCCATCTGCTCCGCTTCAACATTCGCCATCAATGCTTGTCACCTTAAATCATCTTTAGTTTGATCCATTGCCCCTGGGGATATTCTACACTTGCTTATGCAAAACGGCAAGTCTCCGCTGTAATTCAATCCATTCATCTGCCACTCAGACAGACAATTCACACTGCTCAAGTACTTAGCGCTATTTTGTTTTTTCCAAGCATAATACAATTTTCTTGATCATTGCAAGTGTAATTGAATATTGAAGGACAAAAACTAATTTGCTGCCGTATATATGTACATATACACATACATACATATATACATACTTATTTGAAGCTATGTTAGACAGTGTTTTTTGTAAATCAAATATGCGAAGACCGCGCTTTTTTTATATAAAGTAAAATTTTAGTATGACATTTTTTTTTTTTTACTTTTTATATTTTCCGAAAATTACATATTTTCATATAATTTCGCATAAATTATAACAACAAAGCCAAGCGGAACAAGTCCTTATGCATGCCTTTTTTGTTTCGAGACAAACAACAATCAATTTCGCAGTTCAGAGGCAAGCAATTGCCGGCGCACGACAACCGTGAACAATCAACAAAGGCTATGGGCATTGACATTTATGTAGTTACTTATTTAGTACTTTCTTGTAAGCTGAACTTTTCAAAAAGCAGAAAAAAGTTCGCAGGAGATGGTGTCGGCTGGTTGTTGTTAAGGTAAAAATGACAGCATGTGACAAAGTCCTTGTAATATTTGATGCCCCACTGAGCTTCTTTTGTGCCATTACGCGCTTATGTGCAGGTTTGTCTGTGTATTAGAGCTTCTAATGTCTGGGAAATTCATACAGTTTGCTATCCGTAGACTTATTGTTTAGTTAAGTATGCATCAGTAGCGGGTACGTCGTGACAGTTCGTGCATATGCACATTAGGGCGGAGTAATTTCTTCGGAACAAAAGTGTATAGCAAACTCAAATTGTATGATTAACTCTAAGCAAAAATGGAAAACAAACTATAAACCAAAAATATTAAAAGAAAAAGTATTATATTGTAACCTTTTTGGTCAAAATTTATTTTTCATTGTACCAAAATATTTTTTTTCTGTTTTCTCTGTTTTGTGAAGTAGTTTCTTTAATATGCCGAAAACACAAAATTTTGTAAACGAAAAATTTATTTCGTTCTTAAGAAATCATAATGCACTAATTTTTCTTTTAAAAATTTGGAGCGTCAAACGTTATTTTTGGTATAAGTTTGTTCACCATTTCGGTTTAGAATCGAACGTAGAAATCGAATATGTTATTCCTTTTTTTTGATATTAAATAACTCCGCCCTAATGTACACATATGTATATAATTTATACTTAAGTAGTTTTTTATTGTTTGGGTTCTTGACTGTTTTCATATTGTCAAATGACTACGAGGTTGTCTTCATTTTCAGTTACTTAGTTAAGATATAAGTATTGTCTCGTCGTCCACGATTAATTTGTGAAGATCAAAAAAAGAAAATGAATACGAAAAAACAATAAACTATTTAATTTCAACTTTTTATTTTCTATAGAGACAACTTTTGTTTAGAGGAGGAGGGAGTAGGTCACATAGTTGCCGCGACCGAAACGATCTATTTAACAAACCTTTGACTGAATGTCATTTTGGTCATGTGCTTCTGGGTACTGTGATCCTAGGAAGCGAAGTCTGGTCCTAATGCGGGCTTCACAGTAGCACATAATGTGCTCTGCTGTTTCCTGTCCTTCGGAAGCACAAACCAACACTGGTCAGATTTAACAACTCCTATCTTTGACAAATGTTTCATTACCCTACAGTAGCCAGTTAGAAATTCTTTCTTCATGCCTACTGAGGTGAAGGAGTTCTCCGATTCTCCTTGTTGATATATCCGGAATGAAGGAATTGTCGTGTCTGTTACCTAACGTATTTTTCCAGTAATGTAGCGCTTCGTTCTTCATTCAGATATTGTACTTTCGCCTAACGGAGCTCGATGTCATACCAGTAAAGGGTCCTGGACCTATGAATCCCTCTGCAGCCTCTTTTCTGGCGAGAAGC